CTCATGAGAACCAGTATTTCTTGGCAGATTAACATCTATTTTTTTTTATATGTACACCCCTTTATCAATACACTGCTTGATGAAAGCCTCCCCGTGCCTTTAAGTCATGAGGACTGTTCAACCGCACTTCATCACTCTGGTCAGTGCGTGCTGCCCATGACCGGTTGAGATATCACTACTCGCCACCGCTGTTATCCACGCACGGGAGTACAACTCTGGTAGCTGGGTTTCTAATGCACCACCACTCCCCCCTCCACAATGACATCTATGCGAGTCTCAAATACCCACACACACACAACCAGTCACTCAACCCAGTGAGTGCCACAGACTCGCCATGGGCATGGGACCAGTGGCACAGCACGGTTGGCATGGGCCCTGGGGCAAGTAATTAAAAATGCGGCCCTCAGCCCACCTCTCAGTGGTAGGCCACGCTTTCTCCTCTGCTACCCCTGAAATGCAGGGTGCTTCAATAAAATGTTAACACTTATACGGGACTATATTTTTTTAATGGAAAGAGAACGTAGACTGTAACGTGCTAACAAATGTAATGTTAATAGCTTCAAAAATTCAGTCTCCACTTGTTCGCCATCGTTGTCAACACGTGCCTGGAACCTTCTCCAGGCGGTCTCCAGAGCCTGGAGGCAGCAGCACATTTCTTGTGGTATTGTCGCAAAATCTCGGAGGTGTTAACATTTTTTTGAATCACCCTGTATGGAACTCCCTCCCCCCCCCCACCACCAATCAACCGAAAGCCATCCGTGTTGTCGTGATCCTTCAAGATATTTCCCCTTCTCCTCTGCTTATTACTACAGGACAGATACGTTACGCTGTTTCCATCCATCGTCTTGAGACGCGCTGATTTTAGACGCGATATCAACCCACATTGTACTGTGTGCGTCGCATCGTGATTCATTTCGTAATCCCCGGAGGCAGTTGCACCGCCTGCACACTCAATGGCTATGCCCCTGCACGGGACATTGATGAAGAGTGAACCGCCATCGCTGCCAGGTGGGGCTGCGGAAGGGATTCCCGAGCTGAGCAACGCACCGGGTGACTGGTGGGGCGTGCACCGTGCCAGGCCAGGTGTGACGCACGCGCGTACACGGGGGTGCTGACTCAAGGGAAGTGGGAGAGACAAGATTTCGCCTCCGTGAGTAACACCGCTCACCCCAGGCAAGGGATAGGTACGTCACCGTGGCTCCTCCGCTGTGTGGAAAACGACGTTTGGGTGTTCCTCCTCCTCTATGACTGTCCTCCTCCTCTGGGTTCTTCGTCAGCCTTCCTGCTCTGCCCATTTATGACCCTTGAACAAATGTTATACTTGCTAATAAGCAGTTACAACCCATTTATCTGATTTAAAAACGCCTACGCCTCCTAAGCCCAAGACTTAATATTTCACAAGTTCATCTCTACCTTGTACCGATGTATTGACAAGAACACTTTAACTTCAGCGCGATTGTTTTTCAAATGTGTGCCATGCTAGTGTGGCTTTTCGGGAGTGTTCCTGTGACTAGTTGATTGACAGGTTGCGTGTGGTGGGATAGAGCGTGGGTATTCCTTCCTCTTCCGACGCATCTGGCCAGCGAGGGGATTCTCCAGAGTTACCTACAGTGGAGGCCCTTCCGCCAGCAGTTTCGTGAGCAATCAATTAACAGGGCTGCGTATTTAACTTGTGATTAATACTATGAATCTAAACTTTTATTTTTTCTTTTATCAGGTAAGGCCCACTGAGCTAAATAGCTGTTTTCAGAAGTGACTTGGCAACAAATGATAGCCCAATGAAGTGGCTTATTACGTGTAAATTGATAGCAGCCGAATACTCTAAAGACATGTTGATTATAAATGCGGAGGGAAAAACCGTACGACCCGGAGAAAAATCCACGCGAGCCACAGGGAGAGAGAATACGCACAACTCCAAATATACAACAGGCGTCAGGGTCGGGATCGAACCCACGGCCTCTTGCACACCAGGCGAGGGAATTCACATGTCCAAGCCACCGTGGCCGCCCCGTGTTCAACGCTCACGAAGGATGTGACACAAAGCACCAGGGCACAATTTATCTTGTGTTTATTTCAGACATGCTCATCTTGGAAATGGGTAGCAATCGGAGGCTCCGCCGTGGCGACCGAAGCCGTGACGTCCGTCTGCCGCGCGACCTCCCCGAACGCTTTGGGCGCGCACCCAAACCCCACGGCATCCCCCCAAACAAACCCTCGCGAGACAGCGGGGTGCAGAGCGACGCGCGACCAACCGACTGGACCACCCAAGCGTACCCGGTCACGGGACCGTCACATCCGCTACACGATCACTTAGTAAAGAGACGAGGAGTTAAAACTACACAGCAGTAATCACGAAGAACTAGACGCATATTATGCCACAAACACTACCGTTACTTTGGACTGCCGTCCGGGTGCACGCGGGGGGGTCACGTGGCGCCACGCGGTGCTTTGCGGACACCCCAGCCGCGTCCGTCAGATTAACACCAGCCCAGAGTTGAACTGTCAAAGCCCAGCCTGCGAGCTGTCTGGTGACTGCGATGGGATCCCACGAGCTTTCAGCAGGCGACATGACTTCTCTGGAAAACAATACCCACCCACCACCACCCCCCACCGCCCAACTTGCACATTGATGAGTTTTATATTTGAGGTCGGAGTGAACCTGGCAGCCAGGTGTCACCAGATGCCACGGTTGCCAGAGCGTGGATCAGTGCGGGAAGCAGACGCGGAGGCGCGTAGGACCCACGCTAGCGCGACTCCCCATCACGCCGGCGAACGCTTGACCGACCCGCTGCGAGTTGGAGTATCGCTTCATCACGCTCGTGGCGTGCTCGCTGCCACCGGGCGGAGTGACTCGCGCTCTGCGGGGACCGGGGGCAGCTAAGTTCACCCCACTGCCTGATTCGCACAGCCCACGTGCACGCTTTTGTTGACCAACAGCAGGTTAAGGGAACTTCCCCGGAGTAGGGGGGGTGTGGGTATTATCAAACTGAAGAGGGATGGGAACCGATCGCCAGGGGAAACGTCTCATGTTCCACGGTAGCCATGTGGTATCATAAGCACGAACGAAAAATACCTATTTCGGATATTCCTTCACTCTTTTTCCAATGAAATAAATCGCGTTGAAGATTGAACCGCCAATAAAGAAAACAAAATGCGCGTTAAATATTTTGAACGTCAAGGTCTGGGAGGGAGGGGGCCGCGTGGGGTCGGATAGAAATTTGGCAAAGTGGGGAAGCCGACCAGCACTGGGCGTTGCAGGCATTCATGAAATTTGTAAGTTTGAAATCTGCCACCTTAAGTACGTTTAATCTGAGCCCTGGTGTTTGGTGAGGTATAGCTACAGTGAGGGAAAAAAGTATTTGATCCCCTGCTGATTTTGTACGTTTGCCCACTGACAAAGAAATGATCAGTCTATAATTTTTATGGTAGGTTTATTTGAACAGTGAGAGACAGAATAACAACAACAAAATCCAGAAAAAACGCATGTCAAAAATGTTATAAATTGATTTGCATTTTAATGAGGGAAATAAGTACTTGACCCTCTCTCAATCAGAAAGATGTCTGGCTCCCAGGTGTCTTTTATACAGGTAACGAGCTGAGATTAGGAGCACACTCTTAAAGGGAGTGCTCCCAATCTCAGCTTGTTACCTGTATAAAAGACACCTGTCCACAGAAGCAATCAATCAATCAGATTCCAAACTCTCCACCAAGGCCAAGACCAAAGAGCTCTCCAAGGATGTCAGGGACAAGATTGTAGACCTACACAAGTCTGGAATGGGCTACAAGACCATTGCCAAGCAGCTTGGTGAGAAGGTGACAACAGTTGGTGCGATTATTCGCAAATGGAAGAAACACAAAATAACTGTCAATCTCCCTCGGCCTGGGGCTCCATGCAAGATGTCACCTCGTGGAGTTGCAATGATCATGAGAACGGTGAGGAATCAGCCCAGAACGACACGGGAGGATCTTGTCAATGATCTCAAGGCAGCTGGGACCATAGTTACCAAGAAAACAATTGGTAACACACTACGCTGTGAAGGACTGAAATCCTGCAGTGCCCGCAAGGTCCCCCTGCTCAAGAAAGCACATATACATGCCCGTCTGAAGTTTGCCAATGAACATTTGAATGATTCAGAGGACAACTGTGTGAAAGTGTTGTGGTCAGATGAGACCAAAATGGAGCTTTTTGGCATCAACTCAACTCGCCGTGTTTGGAGGAGGAGGAAAGCTGCCTATGACCCCAAGAACACCATTCCCACCGTCAAACGTGGAGGTGAAAATATTATGCTTTGAGGGTGTTTTTCTGATAAGGGGACAGGACAACTTCACCGCATCAAAGGGACGATGGACGGGGCCATGTACCGTTAAATCTTGGGTGAGAACCTCCTTCCCTCAGCCAGGGGATTGAAAATGGGTCGTGAATGGGTATTCCAGCATGACAATGACCCAAAACACATGGCCAAGGCAACAAAGGAGTGGCTCAAGAAGAAGCACATTAAGGTCCTGGAGTGGCCTAGCCAGTCTCCAGACCTTAATCCCATAGAAAATCTGTGGAGGGAGCTGAAGGTTCGAGTTGCCAAACGTCAGCCTCGAAACCTTAATGACTTGGAGAAGATCTGCAAAGAGGAGTGGGACAAAATCCCTCCTGAGATGTGTGCAAACCTGGTGGCCAACTACAAGAAACGTCTGACCTTTGTGATTGCCAACAAGGGTTTTGCCACCAAGTACTAAGTCATGTTTTGCAGAGGGGTAAAACACTTATTTCCCTCATTAAAATGCAAATAAATTTACAACATTTTTGACATGCGTTTTTCTGGATTTTTGTTGTTGTTATTCTGTCTCTCACTGTTCAAATAAACCTGGACCAAAATTATAGACTGATCATTTCTTTGTCAGTGGGCAAACGTACAAAATCAGCAGGGGATCAAATAATTTTTTCCCTCACTCTATGCAGACGGTTCAACTTAGGAAGGACAAAAAACAACTATCTTCTAATTGTGCTCATAAAGCAGAGGGCTCATATCGTTAACTGTCGATTGACCACAAGCGGATTTTGGTCTGACTGATCACAACATTATCATTCACTGAATTGGTGTGTAGAACACCTGCACCTCCTGTGGTCAGCTTCTCCCCACCTGCCATTGATTCATTACCACACAAAACACGAATATTGCTGTGGTAATCCTTGACAAATGGTTCGTAATCGTGTGCCTAAGCTTTCAAAAGCCAACGTTTGGGTAATAAATAGTGTGTGTGCATACACACTTACAAACATACGCACACCCACGTACACACATATTACACTGGGGCTCAGACCTCCTGAACCTGAAGTTAATGTTCAGGTCCAGGTGTGCCATCCAGTTCACTTGCGAGTGACACGCACACAGCAACAGACGCCTCCAGCGCCGTTTAAACCGTGGCACGACACTGCCGGTTACCGCACGTGTTCTCTAGCTGTTACAATGACGACGCTAATGATTATAATGTTCGCATGGGCGGCGCCACCGTTGCTGTAGGCGAGAAGCCTTAAAGGGACTCTACAATTGGTGAGGGCACTGAAGAATCAATTGGGGGGGGGGGGGGGGGGTTGGAGCCAGAGGGTGGCTCTGTAACAGAGCGATAAAATCGTACGCCTGACAAAATCACCGATCAGAGATTTGGTCATTGTGGATCGTTAACCGAGATCAATTGTGTCGAATCCGCTCGGTCCATCCGTAACAACAAAAAAACATTTTAAAAATACCGGGGGTTCATCGCAAATTTGCGGATTCATCGCTGCGTCGATTGATGGACGAAATCGATCGAGTCATGATTATTGGCAAACATCATCGGCAAGATCGGCGGTGCTGTCGCAGTGCCCTTTCATTGTCACCGCAGCGCTGCGGCAACGTGGGGAACTAAAACGGCGATCAGATTTGTCCACGTGGAGGCGCTGTAGCCGAAGGGAAAAGGAAGATGTGGGGAGTGGGGGGGGGGTTGCATCCCTATCTTGGATTACAATCCTCGTCCTTTATTAACCCAGCCCCCTCTTACGGTGCGTGAAAAATGAACCCACGATAGATTTAATTTTAGCATTGAAACGCACGTTCGATAATTAAATGAATTTCTGTTAATTGGCTTCTACCCCCATCTACAGGGATATTATTTTGGAGAGTGAGATGAAGTCTGTTTGTTTCCCTCCCTAGTTTGCTAAATCGGGGGAGGAGGGGGGCAGACAATGCCCCCCTGCATCCACCCCTCCGCCTCCACTCCCACCCACCGTGGCGCCGCCTATGCACGTTCGATATTGGAAGTGAGCACTAAGAAAATTAACACACGTTCACCACACAGCAACCAAATGCTACGTGGTTGCTTAAATGACACGTACCTATATATCAACTGAGTTTATATAAAAAAAAAAACATTAAAAGATTGATGACAAGCTGTTACGTACTTTAATTGTAATTAATTTTTTGTACTTTTTATAATTACTTTCTGTATGCTTCTAAAATAACTTTTGGTTAGCTGTTTCACTTCCACTTTCAAAAGAAAAGATAACTGCGTAACATTGGCTCTGGTTTGCAGGGCAGTCAGAGGGGGGTGGTGGGCAGTGCCGTTATACGCTGGGTGAAGTGCTACCCAGTGGGGAGGCCGCAGCTTGTTGGGGGGGGGGGTGAGTGGGGCTTGGGAAGGGCAGCAGGGCAGCGCTCACAGGGAAGGGGCAGTGGGGGAGATGGAGTGGGTGACCTCAGCAGCCCCTGCCCTCTTTGGGGGGCGGGGGGTTGGGCAGCAGGGTAAGGTTGTAGGGCTTGCAGCAGGACAGGGGCTGGCCAGCTGTCCAGCTGGGCAGCTGGACTTGGCCCTTGCCCTGGCTCATCTTCCCCTCTCACCCGGACAGCTCTTCCTTCAGCTCCTTGTTCCTACGCACCTCCATGGCATGCCTCTCCTGCGCAATACAAGCACACACGCACGCACGCATAAAATGCATTCATACACACATTCAACAATGCACATGAAAACAAATACGGCGACACGTGCGTGCATGCATAAACAAGTGCACGCGCTTATGCGCACACAAGTGCGTGCACTTCCCTCAAATAACCTGTGTAGGTTGTTGGGGCAAGTGCTGTTAGAGAGCACCTGTGAGGTCCTCCGTGGCGTGCAAGGGAGTGGTGTGGCCAACACCAGACTGTGGCCACCTTTCGCTTCCCCAATGCTGATGTTTACACATCGCACCATGTACGGTACTCATTTAAGGTTGAGCTGACCCCGAAAACTAAACCATTTTGATTATACCAGGTAAGGCCCGCTGAACTATATAGCTCTTTTTCAGAAGCAACCACGCCACAAATGATAGCGAAACAAAGTGGCTTATCACGTGGAAATGGATAACAGCTAAATACTCCAAATGGACGTTGATTCTAAATGTGGAGGAAAAAACCGGGGATCCCGGAGAAAAATCCACACGACCACGGGCAGAGAGAGACACGCAAACCCCAAATATACAGCAGGCGTCAGGGTCGGGATCGAACCCACGATCTCTTGTATACCAGGCAAGGTAGCTAAAATCTCTACAAAGGCAGAGTTTGACTTCTACATTTGGGGGGGGGGGGGGGGGGGCGCCCACCTTCTCGCGCAGGCGCTCCATGAGAGCGGCCAGCAGGGCCTCGCGGTTCTCCTTGTTCATCTCCATCTTCTGCAGCAGCTTCTCCTCGGCCAGGCGGCTGAAGTTGTTGTTCTCCTCGAGCACCTTCTGCATGACCTCCCGCTCGTGCTCGCGCTTCTCGGCCAGCTGCCGCAGCACCAGCGCCTCCTGGGACTGAGATGCCGGAGCGGCGGGGAGGGGGCGGAGGTCAGGAGACGTGTTGGGGGGCAAGGGCCAGAGATCAGGGTCCCGATCGCACGGTATGTCCGACGTTTCGTTCCAGGTGCTGGAAGTAAAGGAGCACGTGGACCGTTACCTTTTGCCCCTCTTAACCGCACCGTTACCTATCTCCTCTCCGAACCGCACCGTTACCTTTCGCCTCTCCTCGGCTGCCTCCAGCTTCTTCTGGATCTCCCCCAGGGAGAGGTCGCGGCGCTTAGACCCAGTCGGGGAGCGGTCCGGGGAGAGGTCGGACGACGGCGGCTTGAGGATCACCTCGAAGGCCTGGCCGGAGGCTCGCTTGTTCAGCTCCTTCACCTCCATGTCTGCGTCGCGACACCATGACCACGGGCACAGCACACCGTTTGTGCGCGGGGTACGCGACGGAACACGACACGCACGCATGAACAACATTCACTGGGTGAAGCCATAAGGTGAGCGGGGCTGACCTACAAAATTGGAGCTTAAAGGGTAGAACCTATTCTTGTTTTTTCATACTTTGATACTGGCAAAAAGGTCCCATTCTGTAGCTGCTCACCCCGAGCTATCACTGCCCTGATAATGGCATTGTCTTTGTGCTGTTCGCCTTTTGGCGTTCTCTGGTCTGAGACTGGTGGTGAGACTAGGCCCTAAAGAAGGCTGTCTCTGGTGTAGACCAATTAGTTTCGAAGACAATGCCTCAAATATTATCAGAGCCTGTTTGTTTGCATGTTCATATATTCAGTTCATGTGTGGTGGTTAATGCGAACTAGATTCCTCGCAAAAGCTTTATATTTGGTGTTCGAACATCTTAACACCTCCTGTTTTATTGCCGGAAAGGGTAAAACCTATTTTTATTTTCTCATATCACGTCCCGTGTTACCGCTTCGGCCTTCAAATAAAAAAATAATTGCTATTCCGTCACAGCAGGTGGCAGTGTCGCGTTGGCTCGCAACATCACCTTGACCCGCGACGGCGCCGTGCAGGAAGACAAAGGAGAGGTCACACACAGGAACGGGTCCCCATTTTGTGATCTCAAAACGTTGAAAACGTTCCCGTTTCAGTGGCCACATTCACGACTGGCAGAGGAGGCTGCCGTTTACTGTCAACATTGCGATACTTTCAACAAACAAAACGATGCACACGCTCCCCCCCCCCAATTTAATGATCAACCATTGTCTTACATCTTTCTTGGTTCTTTCGGTAAAGTCACGTAGAAGGGAAATAATAATTCATAATAAAGGTTTTAGGGTTAGATCGCGTTATTTATAAATGTGTCGTAACCCTCCACCACCCGACACGGCCAATCAGCAAAAAAAGTGTCACGTTGACAAAAGACAAATAATTCACTACTTTAGCCCACCGGTTTGTTGAAGAGTGAATCCACAACATTTACATAATACAAATTTTCACGACGTTTCGGCCACAACGCAAGCTAGCTGTCTTAGGACGCTGTCTTTCCGACAGCTCTCTGTTCTTCTCCTGAGGACGGCTGCGTGCGTTGTGGCCGAAAAGTCGTGAGAATTTTTATTGTTTTATTTTTGTATTATTTCCCTTCTACGTGACTTTACCGAAATAACCAATAATATGAATCCCTGCAATCACGAAAGCTTTAAATCGAAATGTCTTACATCCCTGTGTAGCGAGGAGAGTTGACATGTCTACATACCTGTCAACCCATACGGTTTAGCCAGTATTCTTGTATAGGGAAATTGAGTAAAAAATATTGTTTTTGTCTGTCTGTGTTTCTCCATTGTGATGGAACCTTTTAAGGGCACGGGGTGACCAATAAGGTCTGAATTGGGTCTATAATGAGGTAGGGCACTGATATGGGGTTAACAGGTACGAATTTATCCACTGCTGGATGAAAGCCTCCCCACACCGTCACCATCCCTCACGCTCCGGTGTTGCCACCACCCATCTCACCCCTGCCCCATCAACTAATCTTATCGCTCCATCTCTGCGGTGGTCAACCCTCGCTGGACGCGTTCTCTCCTTCAGCTGCCATTCCATCACCAGTCGGTGTCCGTCCACCACCGTCCTGTCCTACCCAAGCCTGTTTACTTTTTCTTAACTATCTATACGGTGTCCTTGAGATGTGTATGTTTTACGATGTGAAAGTGTTGCGAGTAAAAAGATATTTATTATTGTGTTGTAAAAGTCATGATTTTGTTTCTGAATCCTTCTTACAAAAATGCGATTTGCTGTATTGTACTTATTTAAACACAAATCCCTTTAAAAAAAGAGACTTAGTTCCAATACCAGAGGTGTTAACGATTCACCACCATGGCTATACAACAACATTCCATCTAGCTCCTGCACGTGAGCTGATCTCTGTTCCATCTCCAAGGTGGCTGCCGTCCTCTTGGGTACTTTCCATCTCTCGACTTCCATTCCACTGTTAGCCTTGGCCAACAGCCCACATCCCTTCTATTCCTGCCCAAACCCACTTCCTTTTTTTTAACAGTCATTGTGAAATCTTCATCTGTTCCTCTACGCGTCTCTAAGTTGAATATCAATCGTGCACCTCTCCTCGCTTCTTTATGCAATTATTATTTTATTTCACACGAGGTGTGTGCAGTGTGCAAGTTGCATCTCGCAAGACGCGGTGCGTGAGACGCGGTGCGTGAGACGTGGTATCAGAGATGCGGTGTGCGAGTGACACCCACCTGCGTATTGGTAGATGGAGTTCTTGTGTGGCTCCGAGTAGAAGCAGGAACACAGGAGGGACAGCATGGAGAGCTCCTTCATCTTCTCCTTGTACGCTGAGGGTAGCACAGCGACAGTGCGGGACGGTGAGTGCCAGGGGACACATTAGATGGTTCAAGTTCAAATTCTATTAATTTAGTAAATTTAGTGCGTTTCCAGCTCACTTTTTACGTAAGTGCAAGTTAGTCCGACGAAAGCTATTGGTAATATTGATCGGAGAATGAAAATGCACACGTCCTTCCAAAAAAATCGTATACTGGCCATACTCATACGTTCTTTATCATTTGCCAAATAAATGCCTTTCTCACACGGTAATTAAATTTTAAGTGGATGGAAGCTACACGTGACAGATTTAAAACGATTAAAGTTAAAATCAGGACGCGACTTTTAAAGAAAGGCGCTGACCGCAGCACACAATGCAAATACTTGCCGGTAAAGTGATTTTAAAAAATGCATTTAAAAGGTCCTAAATATACAGTGTTCGAATTTTTAAGTGGTGGAAAAATTATTTGTGCGCTGTACTATGAACCTGGCGACTTGAGTCTGATTCCCAGCCACAGCCTAGATCAATAACAACTAACAGATCTATGGGACCCTGCTTTTCCAGTATCAAAATTATGAAAAAAATATATGGGTTTTGCATTTCCCAGTGAATGCAGACTGGATGCATTGTAACAGCTGTCTATTTGCTGTTTGAACATCTTAACGCCTATATTGTTGCCGGAAAGGGTAAAAAAGCCTATTCTTTTATAATTGACAAGTGATATCTTAACTAATGAATCAACCAACTCTGACCAGTGTGACCAATGCAGTATGGTCAAACAGCACCCATAGCACTGTGTGGTGAGACAATTATCCAGTTGACAAAGGGATGAAGATTAAATCTTTCGTGACTGCAGGAATTCATACTCTTTGGGTCTTTCGGTAAAGTAACGTAGATAGAAAAATAATTTTAAAAAATCACGACGTTTCGATCGCAACACGAGCAATCGTCTTCAGGTGAAAAAATACAGCAGGCGGACTGCTGAATCAGAAAGAAATCTACGTGACTTTACCGAAAGACCCAAAGGGGATAAAGATTATTACGTAAGTTATTTCTCCTGCGTGGTTTGCAGGAGAGAGGGCAAATGCAGCAAAATCAATTGTCGTACTGTACTGCACTTATATTTTCCCGCATTTATTCTCCCCGCCTTCACCAAACGGTGAAATCACCGCCATGACCCACACCACCCTCATCCAGCAGTGGATTGACAAAAGGGCCGGACCTGTTCGAGCACGGACCCCAGAGCACCTCACCACCAACATTTACAATTCGAGTACTCGAATTGTAAATGTTGTGGGTTTACTCTCCAACACACCGGTGTGCTGAACTAGTAAGGAATTTGCATGTTTTGTTTACGTGACAACGCTTACTAATTGGCTGTGTCGAGTGGTGGTGGGTTTAACGATACATTTATATTTACGCGATCTAACCAAAAAAAAATCTGGATACTGGTCGCGAAAGCCTACGTGTTAAACTCACTATCATTGAGGCTGCCGTATAAAAACAATAAGTGGCCCTGGCCAAGGATACTGACGTCTACATTCTGCAGCCACTTAAGTTAACTTCAATTATGTATGCAGCGGGGTGAGGATATCTGTGCCTCGGGTTGCACCATCGCCCATCAGGAAAATCTGCCATCGTCATTGCTACCAAATATTGCCCTTCAAAAGTTCGACTCAAACAAATGCCCCCAAGAGCAGCAGAAGATCATCAGGCTCCCCCAAATATGGTAGAATACCTCCACGCGTTGCGACTTAGTGGGAGGTCACTCAGTCTCACTCATTCTTCTCTGGCAGATGCGGACGGATGCCTCATGCAAAAATTGACATTTCAAAAATCTCATGTGTGCGGCTGTGGTCACCCAGAATAGACTATGGAACATATAATGAACGAGGCATCACAGCAATACACTCCGCGCTACTCCTGACGCAATTATCCGGCTCAACCACAATGTTAAATTATAGTTGTTGCTCTACGTCATCAGCCATACAAAGGAAAATCAGATTTTTGTTTTCGAATGCCCTCAAAGTCGAGAACACCCTGCCGACAACATGCCCCTGTCAAAGTTACGGATGAGTTGGTGGGATAATGTGACCAGTACGAGAGATGCTGAAGATCACCAAAGATGGAAAACATCCGTCATGGGCATGAACCTTTAAGGATCACACAAGATGGATATGACTGACTACCCCTCTCTTTAAAAAACAAAGTCCCCATTGTTTCTGCACATCCTCTTGAGATGCTGTTGTATTTAGATGCGATCTAAATCTCCACATCGTATTGTATTGAAGATAAGGCCTACATTGATATGAGCGGTCACAATTATTGTTTTCATGCTCAGTGATTGTTACTGGATTCCTATCTACAGTAGAATTGCTTTGGTAGAACAGCTTTTGCTAAAGCCTTAGCTTTTATACTTTTGTTAGAAACCCAGTAACAACCACTAAAGCCACAGAAATCTAGATTTGCTTGAGTAACATTGTTTTCTAAATGGAATTGCCTCGTTTAACCAGGCACAAATGGAACTGTTTACCACGCATTGTGCACTGTTATGTGATGAAATAGAATCCATCCCGTGCAGATTATTTTCATTTAAAGATTGTTGACCGACTTGCAAAGTGCCTTGGACAGGGCGCTGTATAAATCCGAAATCGAATAGAAAGGGATTTAAATTACAAAATAAACATATTTATCCAATTGACTAATCGGATTACAGTTGGAAAGCACATATACAGCACGTGTGTATTCATCATATCGATCATGAGCTATTTTTTATCCATAAAAGAAACGGCACTTATTCAAACGAAATAGCCATTGGGAAAGCGAACGTGTTTCTCCTGTCTCACTGCTTGAGAGAAGCTAATATCTCCACGTCCAACCCAGCAAGGTCGTGGTCAAGATCGAGATGCCATCATAGCCAATTCTGTTGATGCCACCACACTGCTTCCTTCCTTCTGCTGGACAGAGGGCCTTCCACCGCGTCGTCGCTGCAAACCCGACACCCAATCTCCATCGCGCCCTCACTCCCTCCCCCCTACTGTGGGCGGATCAGCATGCGCACAATCACTCTGACGTGCCCGCCAGCAGTGGCAGCGATGGGCATGAGCAACCCAAGCAAAAGCTTTGAACTCCCAGGTAGCTCAAGAAAATCCACAGATTCTTGACAAAAGGGGTGCATGAAATGTCATCTCAAATTCAGATCCTAATAACAACGCAAATTAATTAATATACAAGGCAAATTAATATCTGTCACCTCACTAGATCTCTCTGTTTTTTTTTGTTGTCTAAATTTCTCTTGGCTAACTCCATCTCGATATCTTGTCTGAATGTCTTCCATCTCGCTAGGATTGTATACATTGAAATGGGGGGTGGGGGGGGGGGGCTCAGAGGAGGGCAACCCTGGGACCTCCCCACCCCAGAGTCAATGTCGACATTGGCTGGAGAGAGGCGTCAAAGGATGATGATGCAGACGCGCACGTCAGGGGGACAAGGCCTGGCAACATCAGGGCTGTCTGCATGGGGAGCAGAGCCAGGGGCAGTGGAGCCACGGGAGATGTAAGGCATGGCAGGGGAAGTGGGTCGGGTCGGGGGGGTGGTGGGAATTGTAAAGGGCATGAGGCAGATCCGGCGGGATTCCTCGCACTATCATCCGTGGCACCGTTGCCTGCCGTGGTCAGATACACGCTGTGGCTTTGACTCCAAGTCGTTATCGCGAGGTGGACACAGTACGACAGTGGTGTGTGGATTTTGTTGGTTTGTTTTCCTTCTTTGTTGAAACTAAATGGCTGTTTACACGATAACGCTGCTGCTGACCGTGGCCTTTTGAAGCTGCGTTTATGATACAATTTTTTTGTTCAAGTGGGTAATTCACATTTTATATGTCGATGTTGAATAATGCGTACAAATGGTAAATTAATGATACGCGGGTTTTTTTTATACAATAATTAAATGGAATCAATAACGTCTCACCGAGTCGCTGTACACTTGTTTTAGGTGGCTCCTAGTTTTAGAAATCCCCACGTACAAGGGGATGACGATCAATATTTTACTGACAATTATTCAAAAACCCATTTTTTGTACCGCCACTTCCTGGCCACCTCGCATCACAAATCTGCATGATCCACCAACCCCTCCTACCTTGAAAGTGCTGGATCAAAGAAAGATGTGCACCACGACACTCAAAAAATATGTTTAATGATTGTGCAAAAGTAAATGTCTTCAATTTGTTTAAGGTTTACATGCGCAAAGGAACAAGTGTGACGATTTGAATGTCTTTTGTTATTCCTCCGTAATTAATGCATTTAATTTTCATCGCCTGAAAGTCTTCATGGGTGCCAATAATTCACATTGCGATGACGCTGATGGCCTTGATGATTTCAATCAAGTCCATACCACTCTACGCCAATGCCCCCAATGAATTGTGGCTGCCGGCTGATGCAGCAGATTTACTGAAGCCAGTGTCTGACGGCGATGGAAGGCGAAGTGCTCCATGGGACAGCGAGGCGTCTGCCCGTTTGTTCACGCCCGTGCCGTCATGCGGGAACCTTTCACCTCACTCGGGTCCCTGCCCTCAGCTCGTTTGTCATGCCTCGCCGTGGAAACATAAATGGATTATTGGATCCAGGGTTGGGATTCTGACCCCTCCCCTCCCACCACCACTCAGCTCAGATGGTTTTCCAGGTATCACATGACTATCCGGCCACTGGATTCCATTTAAACCGCAGGGGAATACGCCATTGCATTAAAAATGCATACGCTCGTGAGAAGACCTCTGTATCAGCCAACTCTGCCTTGCACTTTGGAATCTAGTGTTTATATTGTTCGTTATTTTAAGGAAGCCAACATTCCATCATCTGTACATAGCACCGTGTAATGTGTTTGTGATCAGGGTGGACTACATTCTGTGTATTATCTTCCACGCCAAAATGAGATTATATCTATGATCCTCAGAATATATTTGAAGATCAGTTTCGCTGTTTTGAAGATCTTTACAATGGTCTTGTTCCAGCCTCA